TGCCTATCTGTCTTTGGCACGCTATGATGAGGCAGTATTTTCCTATCAGAAAGCCCTTACAGTGTTCAAGTCAACCAAAGGAGAGAATCACCCAACAATAGCTTCAGTTTATGTCCGATTAGCCGATTTATACAACAAAATAGGGAAGTTCAAGGAATCAAAATCTTACTGCGAAAATGCATTGAGAATTTTTGGGAAGCCGACTCCAGGGTTCCCCTCTGAAGAGATCGCAAGTGGCTTAATAGATGTTGCAGCCACCTATCAGTCAATGAATGATGTGGAGCAGGGTCTAAAGTTACTCAAAAAGGCCTTGAAGATGTATGGTAACTCCCCAGGTCAACAGAGCACTATTGCCGGAATTGAGGCCCAAATGGGGGTGATGTATTACATGATGGGAAACTATTCTGATTCTTACAACATTTTCAAAAGTGCTATTGCCAAGTTTCGTGCCAGTGGGGAGAAGAAATCTGCTTTGTTCGGGATTGCTTTGAACCAAATGGGTCTAACCTGCGTGCAGCAGTACGCAATAAATGAAGCAGCAGATTTGTTTGAGGAGGCCAAATGTATTTTGGAAAAAGAATATGGTCCATATCACCATGACACCTTAGGAGTTTATAGCAATCTAGCAGGCACTTACGATGCAATGGGCAGGTACTATGTTCGCAGTCTCCAACCCTCTTTAATCCTTGTAGTTCTAATCTCTAAGAAAATAGTTTATCTGGGAGTATTGTGTTATCTGTCTCTATCGCTCTCTTCCCTTTGCTAATACTTGTTTGTTGTTTTGATTGCTTGCAGGGTGGATGATGCCATTGGAATTCTGGAATACGTTGTCAGCATGAGAGAAGAAAAGCTTGGAACAGCAAATCCTGATGTGCATGATGAGAAGCATAGGTTGGCTGAGTTGTTGAAGGAAGCAGGCAGGGCCCGAAACACAAAATCTAGAAGATCCCTTGAAACTCTCCTTGATGTTAACCCTCAAATTATAGAAAATAACGGCATCAAAGTTATCTAAAGTCTTAAATGGACATAATATACAACGAGATTAGTTGGTGTGCTTTGTGTTGTCATTGTTTGAAAATATGAGTAAAACAATAAAATGTAGTAAAAAGATAACAAAGAAAAAGTGGGCGCAGGTCCCACTTCCTAGTAGTCTATCATTTTATTGCTCAAAGATCTCTGGAGAAGGTGCTTTTGTAAATCTATTTTCTATAGAATAGAGGAGAGTTCTCATTCATTCAATATCCTCCTTTTCTACTCAATTTATGATTGTTGAAATGTCAATTTTCCAAGTGAACAAACGTATGATCAAACTTAATTTTCTCTGTTGGTACACCAAATGGCCTATTAGAAAATCAAGTTGCTTCTTGCCATAAGTCTGGAAACGTTCCTGGTCCGATCATTGATATTTATTACACATGACAGCAAACAAGCGAGACTGTGAAATTGAATTGACGTCATCCCATAAAAAGAAACACACAAATAATGCAGTCTATTTCTTTTGCCATTTGCGAACATGCATTGCTATAGTTTACCCCAAAAATAAAAGGAACGTGTGCTGTATATTGCTATATAAGAACATAAATGTTAGAAGCATGCCTTCCCAATTGGAACTGGAGGATCAGAGAAGGATCCACTAAGAATGCGTTTAGCTATCCAGAGATGTGCTGCTTGAGAGTAGTGTATGCCGTCCTAGCTAACATGTTGAGATGGATTCTTGCACGGAATCCCATGAATAGTCCCATTTACTGTGACTTGCCTCTCGCAATTAACATGGTAACCATAGTAGCTTCCATAGCAGAACAACAACGGATTCACAAAACCTGTGAACAAGCAAATATACAAGTTAGGTTCTGCACTTCGCTATAAATATACTCAAGTCTTGAACTACATAGGTTTGGCTTCAAAACATGGGGGGATCACCTTGTTTCTTTGCGTTGTTGATTAGTTGGTATTTGGCTGAATACACATCAACATATGTGAATTTGGCAAGAGGGAGATTTTTCTTGAGCTCAAGCACTTGTTCCTTAAGCTGTCTATTGAATTCCTGAGTGATCTCATTCTGACGTTTGACACACCCATTTGCATCCAGGTCAGTGACATTAGCCCTCTTTGACTTGTAATATATAAGACCGTGGGGCAAGTACCCAATTGGGCATGTTGTGGATCTAGAAGATTCTAGCCCCTTCACTGTACAGTTGTTGGAACATCAGACATTACAAGTATTAGTTCTTAGAACAGAGTCGCCATCCATTTGGTTACCCAATTGTTATGTTGATTACCTGCACTGCTTGAAAGAAGGAGTCTCAGATACTAGGAATTGATGACCGAACTTGCTCCTCTGAAGTATGGTTAAAACCAAAATATAGATTGTTTTGTCCAATATCAAAGGTATATGGGGCTTTCAAGAATTCACCAGGTCTTGGAAGACTGCTTATAAAAGGTGTTTCTGTCCCTGTAATATTGCAGTTTTCATTCCTCCTTGTCAAAATCAACTTCAGTCTAAAGATAATACAAAAGGAAATCTAGAAGAGAAAAGAAACTAAACTGTTGCTTGTAAGTTGATTGTACAAAACATTGGCACGATACTTGAATTGTTTGAATTGGGAAATCTGAAGCCCTAGATGAAAGGGGCTATGCCTGTCGAGAAGAATCGATGAGCCCCCTGTTGCAAAGTTCTCCCCATGCCAGTAATTTTACCCAAGTGAGTTCAAATATGCACTCAAGTATGGCAGCTTCAATTCTTCAGCTACATAGGTTCGTTAATGAAATATGCATAAGAAACTACTATCATTAATATCCTAATACGCGCTTACATTGAGAGGGCTAGAAGCGAACGCATTAAAGACGGGCAAAGACTTGAAGAAAGCCCCTAAAAAAAAGGTGTTGAATAAAGAGTGCGAAGGAGAGAAACAAAGAATGCTCTGCTTTCGCGCTCACTGATAAAATCAATAATGAGTCGACCATCGCAAGCCCTTCCTGATAGACTTCTGAAGAAGCTTTCGCCGTTAGGAGGATAAACCCCTGTGAATGCTGCAGATATGGCTCCGGTGTTTGAATTTGAGTCCCCAAAGTTGTAAATAGCTGGAAACCCACAAGTTTTAAAGACACTAACTCCCCAAACTTCACATGACAAACCCAGAACTAAACACCCAATTATGTGAATCTTTATACCGAAGCTCATCATTGGTTCCTTTTCTCCCCTCTCAGCAAGTGGCTATGTATCACCAATTCACTGAATAATAGGGCTTGCATTAGCATTGAGGAAAACTCAGAGGGTTTTTCCTTTTAGCGGGCACATTTTTGAAGAATGTTCAGTACCGAGCACAAACAGAAAAGAACAAAAATGGGACTCTAATAAATTTTGGTAAAGTATCTTTGCCATCAATATTGTTCCTTGTATCGTGCGTGTGAGACAAATTTTTTGAAAGCAAGTCTCGAGAAAGATGAAAACTGCCAAAACGATCATGTGCGGCTGCGCGCTGTAGCGAACAGTTCTTAAATTGGACGTCGATAAAATCTCTCTTACTTCAGCGCTTTGAAATGAAAATGCAAATAAACTTCAATCAAGAGAGTATAAAATAAGAGAAAAAGACACTAAAATACTTTTAAAAATACTAAATGACAAATGAGGGTGTTTGAATTTCAAAATTTCAATTCAGACTCTAGGTATTTTTTTTAGAATTTTTAAATCTTGTAAAATTACACAAATATCTTTTACTATTTTTTTTAAAATACCGTCACCTCAGCAATCCTGGTTGTCCGAGCTCTGACGCCGGTGTTGCCGGCGACCAACCACGGAGCTCCGACGACATGTTACTCGAACTTCAGTGACTGATCACTGAAGCTCCGGTGACTACTCATTCTTATGTATTGACTACTCTTTTTTAATTATTGACTACATTTGTTTTTAAACTTTGGTAATTATGCTTGTTAAGCTACTAACTACTCTAGTAATGCGATTGACTATTTTTATTTTTACAATTTGGATGACTACTTTTATTTAGCTATTGATTACTCTAGTTTTGTTATTAACTACTTTTGTTCCAAAAATTCAAAAAAATACATTAAGTATTGTTGGAGATTTGGTAACTACTTTTTGTTTAGTTATTTACTATTCTTATGTAGTCAATAGCTATATAAAAGTAATCACTAGAATTTTGACAATAAAAATAGTCAATAGTTAAAATAGAATAGTCAATAGTTAAATAAAAGAGTACTCACCGACAGTAAGAATGTTGTTGTCATTTTACAAGATTTGAAAATTATAAAATGGTACCTAGAGCCTAAATTGAGATTTTAAAATTTACCTGTTATAATTTATCATTTAGTAATTTTGGGTGTATTTCACTGTCTTTTTTTCTTAAAATAATTGGAGGAGCATTGATGATGCAATAAAGGTTAATAACCCAACCCAACACCTAGCCAAAACAAAGTTCAGTACTACTTGAAGGCTGTTTATTGCACTTTCTTTTTTAACATGCTTTCTTGACAAGTTCAACCATAATGTTCCCATCAGATATTAAAAATTGCAGCTCTGTATATTTTGACTGCAGCATAGGAACTGCTATACATACATATAGTACAACTTATGAGAATTGTATGAATGCTAACACATCTGTACAGAAAGCTATGGTCATTGATGATTCGAACCGACCCCAATGGAGCAGCTAGCAAGGACATCTAAAGAACAAATTAATGATGTAAACTTGTTCACGAAAGGGAATTCTATTGGTCACATAAAACAAAAAGGAAAATTAATACGAGTTTGGTTAAAAATCACCGCGCTGCTATGCTGAACCCTATAACTACTACGTTTAGCTTCACTTACTGACATTGTTTATTAGTTAATATATAAGCACAAGTGTTACTAGCCTGCGACAAATATAGCATATTGAGAGAGTACTTAAGAGGCGCATATGTAATAAATTAATGTTTAATTCGAAATGGACGCCTTGGGAAGGGGAAAGGGACAGATTTGATGCAATTTTACCATGACCTCGTGTGAAGATGATAATGATATCATATAATTTCGAAAAAGAAATTAAAAAGGATTGAAGATCTGAAAACCTAACGCTGAAAAATAGAATTAATTGATTATATGTGAAATTCAGTTCACTAACTCCTGCAAATCAATTGAATCACGGCAAGAATCAGAAGCACGCTTTTCCAATTGGAACTGGAGGGTCAGAGAAGGAACCACTGAGAATGCGTTTAGCAACCCAGAGGTTTGCTGCTTGAGAATAGTGTATGCCGTCCCAGCTAACATGTTGAGATGGATTAGGGCAGGGATACCCATAAACAGTTCTATTTACTGTGACCTGCGTCCCACAATTAACATGGTAACCGTAGTAGCTTCCACAGCAGAACAACAATGGACTCACAAAACCTGCCACCAAGCAAATCATAAAAGTTAGGTTCCGCACTGTGCTATCGATCTACTTAGGATGTGTTGGTTTGGCGTCAAAACTTGTGGATCACCTTGTTTCTTTGTGTCGCTGATTAGTTGGTATTTGGCTGAATACACATCAACGTACGTGAATTTGGCGAGCGGGAGATTTTTCTTGAGCTCAAACACTTGTTCCTTAAGCTGTCTGTTGAATTCCTGAGCAACCTCATTCTGGGGTTTCACACACCCATTTGCATCCAGGTTGCCCTGTTTTGACTTGTAATATATGTAGCTGTAAGGCAAGCACCCAATGGGGCCTGTGTTATGGATCCAGAATATTCTAGCCCCTTCATTGTACAGTTGCTAAAACATCAGCCATTACAAGTATTAGTACTTAGAACAGAGTCACCATCCGATTAGTTATTCTCGTATTTGCTAGTGTTGATTACCTGCACGGCCCGGTAGAAGGTTTGTAAGATATTAGGAATTGATGATCGAACTTGCTCATCTGAGTCGTGCTGAAAACCATAACCAAGATCGTTCTGTCCAATATCAAAGGTGTATAGGGCTTTAGAGAATTCGTCAGGTCTTGGAAGAATGCTTTCAGAAGTTGATTCTGTCCCTGGAACATTGCAGCATTATTTGTCATTGTCAAATATAACTTTAGTCCAAAAAGAATAATCTAGTTGGAAACTATTATAGATTCTCATAATGTGCTTCAAGATATCCACAGTTGCATATGCTTTTAGAGTACCACCAAAACCAAGATTACAAAAGGAAATCCAGAGATGAAGAGTAAAGAAACTAACTGTTGCCTGAAAGCTGAGTGTACAGAACATTGGCGCGATACTTGAACTGTTTGAATTGAGCTATCTGAAGCCCCAAATCAAATGGACTATACCCGCCAGGACGAATCGATGAACCTCCTACTGCAAAGTTTGCGCCATTCCGGTAATTCGACCCAAGTGAGTTCAAATAGGCGCTCAGGTATGGCAGCTTCAGTTCTTCAGCTGCATAGGTTCGTCAACGAAACACACATAAAGAAATGTGTCTATAGTTAATATATATCATCAGCCGCCCAATACCCGATTACACAGAAGGAGCCAGAACGCCTCCATTAAAGAATGGCAAGAACTTAAGGAAAGAAAAACAAAAATAAAATTAAAAAGAAAGGCTGAATAAGAGTGTGAAGGAGAAACAGAGCATGCTCTGCTTTGGTGCTTACTGAGAAAATCGATAATAAGTCGACCATCGCAAGCCCTTCCTGATAGACTTCCAAAGAAGCTTTCGCCATTGGGAGGATGAACCCCCGTGAATGCTGCAGATGCGGCTCCAGTGTCTGAATTTGAGTCCCCAAAGTTGTAAATTGCTGGAAACCCACAAGTTTTAGAGCCATAATCACCACCCCAGACTCCACATGCCAAACCCAGAACTAAACACCCTATTGTATGAATCTGCGTGCCAGAATTCATGATCGGTTCCTCCCTCTTCCGAAGCGGCGGTGGGTCACCGAAGGGGTTTATATAAGTAAAACTCAGAAGAGGTAGATTTGCTTTTTTGACCGGCAAATCTGCGCCGGCGAATTTTTAATTCAAATAACTTCGTTAGTGTTTTTTAAATGAAAATTGAATAAACTCCAATTTAAAAAAGGGTACGATCCTTTGATGAGCATTAATGATGCAGTGGAGTTTAGTTTTACTTGAAGGAAACGGCAAACATGCTGTTTTTTTTTAATAATATTTCACTGGTGATTATTGATCATTGACAACAACAACCATTTTATTGGCATCGGATATTAAAAATTGCAGTTATCAAAAAGTAAAAAATAAAAATTGCTGCTGCATATTTTGATTGCGGTATAGAAACTTCTATATAAAACTAAGGAGCATCATATGAAATATGAATGATGACAGAAAACTTGTACGGAAAGTAAAATGAGTGACGAATACCGTCTATGAAGAATTCATTATGTACGTGGTCTACTTTGTACAGGGGATAACAGAGAGCAATGGTTATTGATGATACGAACCGACGCCGGTGGAGTAGCCAGCAAGGATACATTACTAGAAAAGAATTTAATTAATATTAATAATGTAAACTTTTAGATAAATGGGAATTTAATTTGGGTTTGGAACATAATCACCGTACGTCCTTGCTCCATCTCATATCTGCTACGCTCTGCTTCACTGTACTAACACGTTGTTTAGTTAATGATATACAAGCACAAACTTACTAGTCAATAGACGCTTATGAAATATAATGATGTTTTATACGAATTGGATGCATTTGGGGAAAATTTCTCCCCTTGTTGCATATGGTCCCTCCCGTAACGGCTCACAGTTCATCGCTTTTAACAAGTTTTGGAATTGGAATTCTCCTGCAAAGGGTGGCTTAGCGTTCTAGTTTGAAAACCCATTTCTCCGGGTAAGGGGGCCATTTTTTTCAAAATGGAGGAGTGATAATGAGCTAAAAATAGCAGTAATTGGTCGCCGCATAATGAATAGACTCGTTTCATATTCAGTTCCCAGCAGCTAATTCGAGCGCATTTCAATGGATGAAGCTCTTCTTTCCGGTTGCTTTCATAACTAATTATTTGCAGGTCTACACTTGCTAACTACAGACGAGCTCGTTGCATTAAGTGGACAGAAAGTCACTGATTCATACATTTTAATATGCCGTTGCCTTGGCAATGTGAATGAAAAAGTAACAAAGGGATGGTTCTTCCCCCCTTTTTGATTCTAGTTCTACGGCTTAATCAAATTCACGACTTATTAGAGTGAAGGGAAAGCATTCCATGATTAGCAATAGCGACTTAAATTGCAACCCACAAATTTGCTGCAAAGGCTGCTAGGTTCGTTTTTCTTCCAACGTGTCCGATTGCTCGCTTTAGCATATCATGATGAAGTACGACAGTTCCACACCGCGTACCTTTTTCCCAGCTCTCTATACTTGTCAGAAACATTCATTATTCTCCGTGGTTAGCCTTCAAATGGTGGTGGCAACATTGTCCAATTGCTATTCCTTATATCCTGGCTGTCAAAGCTATCTTAGAGGACTCTGCAGAAGCAGCATTATAAAATAATTAGACTGACGATAGTATGTCATCAATAAAACAAAAACATACAATAAAAAACCCTAAGATCATCTTAATTACTAATTGTTTGACCAGTAAGGTACATCCAACCAGAAAACCAGAAAATACTTGAAAAATTACCTCTCATGAACGTACTTCTTTCTTGATCTATTTTAAGTATTGTATCGGAATATAAGTAAAAGTAATTTGAACGCCTAAAGAAGGGCAAAGGGAAGACACCCTAATGGATCTTAACTATTGAGTTCCATGAAGGGTACAAAAAGGTAAGTTCTGGGAAATTTGAAAGTAGCAAAATTTTAAACCTTTCTGGTTTGATCCTGCTTAATTTTAGAGTTCCCAATACGTAATAGTAGATGTTGATGTCTCAGCACCGGAGCAACTCTACTTACTGATACATGGACGGCTTGTGTAGTTGTACAGAACTCCACGAACTCTTTACAAGTGAACTTGGGAAAATAATAGTTGGCAGTCTCTCACTTTCTTCAAGATGAGGAAAATCAATTGTGTAATGTAGCCCACGGCTCTCATGCCTAGAAAGGGCACTACTGACCACCAGCTGAGCACAACAAAAAAGGTTTCTCATTTCACAGGTCTCAGGCCCCACCATAGTTGGCTTCCACCCATGCTGAAATAAGCAACCCTCCCACTTAGCTTCTAATTCAGCAATTTTTTGGTTTGCGGTTTCTAGTCTCATGGTGGACCGAATAATTCCAACATAACTCCACATAATAGATTGCAGCTCTCTCCTCACTTCCGATGTCATCGCTGATATTTTGTCAATGACACCACTTCCAAGTGACAGAGGCACAATGGGTCTAGGCCACAAATTTGAAGCAGTCAAATCAAGGCTGGAGCTCTTCATGCAATCAACAGATGGCTCTACAGCTCTACGAGCAAAAACTAGTGCCTCAAGCAATGAGTTGCTAGCAAGCCTATTGGCCCCATGCAGGCCCGTGCATGCTACCTCACCAGCCACATACAGACCTCGTACATTTGTCTCCCCCTGGAGCCCAGCCCGCACTCCACCACACATATAATGAGCAGCTGGAACCACTGGGATTGGACAGCGAGTTATGTCCAAGCCATATTGGAGACACACAGAAGCAATGTTGGGGAAATGGGAGAGAATTTCCTCCTTGGGCTTGTGACTAATGTCAAGTAGCACATACTTATCATCACGCCTTTTAAGCTGATCATCTATACTTCTCGCCACCACATCCCTGGGGGCAAGCTCTGCTCTCTCGTCATACAAGGGCATGAACCTTTCCATGCCTAAATTATACAGGATGCCCCCGTGACCCCTGACAGCCTCAGAGATCAGAAATGCATTGTCCCGAGGCTTGGTTGGTTTGAGAGGGAGCCCTTCATCAGCTAAAGCAGTAGGATGAAATTGTACAAACCTGAGCAAATCGTAAAGAGAAACTACATATCAAAATACTAGACATTAGTTCCCCACTCACATGCAGCCGGGGATGAAGTATGTAAGCTTAGAATAAAATAATGTAAACTTGATGAGTCTTAAGCTTCAGATATTATATTCCTACTCCACTTTTCGGGGGGAAAATACTGTCAGGATTTACAGAAAGTAAAGAATCCTCAGTAAAAGATAATTAGTCTAACACACTCATTAATTGATCTTCTGCTTTGGAAAGAAATTAAAACGTTGGTGCAGTTGTTCATCGAAATGCATTTAATTATATACCTTCTAAAGTACAGAAAGATTTGTCACAGCAGTACGGCATTCATGATCAATTTTACTATTCGTTTATTATGACTAGTCTGACATATTGACAAAAAGGTAAAAGATAATAAACGTTCACATCTCTGAAAATGATCTACTTACTCCATGTTGGAAATCACAGCTTGAGCTCGGTGTGCCATGGCCATCCCGTCTCCAGTGGCTACCTAGAATAATCATCACGAGAGTCCGATTAAGATGCAACTAAGACTAGCCACAAACTGCAGCATGATCAGTCTGAACATGGTCAAGATACAAAGCACGAAATCAGCATACAATGGTCCGTTAAAGCATCCAGACAGACTAAAAAATATCTACTTCATGACTTACATTTTAACCTCAACTAAATTGGATTACTTGTCACAAAAAAATTGGATAACTTATTCGATTTTAAATTTTATTTTAATCAATTGCAATACTTAATTCATTTGGTGCATCGGTTATGACTGAAAAAACAACTATTTATAATGAGGTGTTGTAATTTTCAAGATCCCGATCCTTTAAAATAATAGTATTATTCCTAAAAAATTTCCAGAAATTGTCACATTTTACATTGTTGAGTCATGCAAGAATTTCCACTTTCCATCATGAATGATGTTATCACAAACAAGTAGAAGCTACAATAGTTCGCAAAAAGACAAAAAAAATTCGGGTAGTGGATTCTTCTCCAAAAAAAGAAAAAAAAGAAAGAAAGAAAAAAATCAGATATTGGAGAAAGAGGACTACCAGGGGATTTGTAGTCGTAGGATAAATATGTCCGGCCCCACCAGATGCGAGTAAAGTCACTTTTGAAATAAATCTTACCACCTAAAAGCTAAAAAGGTGAAGTTTTACAAATTGGAATTAAAGCTGGCAATAGGTTTGCCGTCAGAGAAACACATATAACAGTTTTTCCCACCTGTGATGTCTCAGTACTTAAAGTGTCAAAACCAAGGCAGAGTATATCAGATCCATCCTGCAACATCAGCAATGTGTTTCTGTAAGTGAATGCATCCAGCAACTGAAATACTCTGGCATCAAATTTGGATAGTCAAAATTGGAGAAGACTAAAACCCTAGAGAACTTCTAAACTTCCAATAATTTCACAAATGCAGCAAAACATGCCATGTAAATTTGCACTAGGGGAAAAAATCCGCAGAGAGACCCAAACCTGACAAGTGAGCAAATCTATAGCAAAGTGGTGTTTGAAGACAAAAATATTAGGATGACTGATGACTTTCTTCAGCAAAGCACGTTCAATCTCTTTTCCAGTCATATCAGCAGCATGAACAACTCTACAATGTGAATGGCCTCCTTCCCTCACTAGATGCAAGTTTCCATCTTCACCATGATCAAATGATGCACCCATGTCAATCAGTTCTCGAACTCTATCGGGTCCTTCAGTACAGACAACCTAAAAGATAAAGTCAAAGTGCACAATAAGCTGAATAAATTAGTGAAAGAAACTAGCAATTTCACAAATATGATCTACAAGTACAAGAGCAACACTTGTTGTTCAAAGGATATCTCTCAATAAGACTGGAAAGAGTTCAGGAATGAATGACACAAGGTGAGGTTTATAATTCTGGAGCATACTTTGACTGTCTCCTCATCGCAAAGATAAGCCCCAGCCACTATGGTGTCCTTCATGTGACTCTCCACTGAATCTGAAGGGCATAGGACAGCACTAACACCACCTTGAGCATAATTCGTGTTGCATTCATGGGTTCAGCCTTTGTGACCACTGCAACAGATCCATGTTTTGCAACTTCAAGTGCATAGCGAAGGCCAGCAATTCCACTTCCAATTACAGCAAAGTCAAAATACTTAGTGGAACCATCTTTCTTGTAGGAGGAGATGACTGATCTGGGAAGTTTCCAATTCTCATAAACTGGAGACACAGCAAGTTTATATCGGTTTTTCCGTGTTAAACTCTGCGCTCTTTTTGACCTATAATTGTGAGACAAAAACATTTAGAAATCATCAATTCGGTAAAACAAATATGATCATAAAATTGCAGAGCAAAGTTCCATTTACAAAGTTTCAGATTATGTTGCCCGAAGTTATTACAAATACTTCTTTACAAAGCTGTCATTTGACAATGCGTTTATAGACACACTTAAAAGAAACAATTCAGATTCATATGAACTCTGTAGCTGTAAGTCATGATAATTAACCCAAATTATCTTTATTCCTGGATCAACATCTTCACCACATACCAAGGGAGATCCTTTTGCAAATAGCTCTTGATGGGTACATCAGAGACCATACAAGTCCTTCTACAATTTCGCCCCTTGAAGTCTGTGAACAGGTAATGAAGTTCGCCGCTCCCGCCGGCTATACTAGTTGTCATTGCAATCCTTCTGTTAAAAAGATTGTTTTTGAAAAAGAAACAAAAGGGCATAAGATACTAAAATACGGAAAACCTTCTAACTACAATTGCATTCTGTGATTTCTTTGCAGTTAGTCAATCATAGGAGTGGGCTATCACTATGTTTTTCCCAAAAATATTGGGAACCCAGTTCTGAGCTAAGCACAAGCAAACTGTTTTTATGTATAAGAATGTGCTCATAATAGTTTAGAAACAAAGTTAAATCCCTTCTTCTCCCTTCCCAGACGGGAGAGATGGAAGAAGAAATAAGTAACGAGAAATTCAATTATTTACCCGGATAATAAGGCCTACTCAAATTTCAGAAGCAAAACAGAACATGGAAAAAAGCCGTTCAGGAATGGAAACAACATACGAAAGAAGCTGGAATATATTGGAGAAATTTAAAGTTGGCTACAGCTGAATTATTCTCCTAGGAAAGCACACGGAACGACAGAGCAGAGAAGACATTCACAATAATGATTGTTTTTAATTCCGAATCCTACATGGTGTACGATTAGTTAACACATCCAAATCCCGGAATAGAACAAACGAATGCAAAAAACTTGAAATGCTACCCACCAAAAGTTCCAAAAACAAAGAAGACACCGACGTTTAATTTGCAGAGACCCTCGAGAAAGAGCGGCGAAACCAATGGAACGTGGACTAGGTCGCGTAGCTTCGCAGAAAATGAATCGCACCCGACGAAGAAAAAAGGTAAAAATATTCCACGAGCCTGTCGTCGGAAAAAAGAAATTACAATATGAATTGGTGTTCAGCCGGGAAGCGAACGGAGAATAAAAATAAATATTACTAATATACGAAGGGAAGACCAAGAATGGAAAACAAAGAGGCGCGGCCCTGAACATTCCTGCGCCCTTCCCCCACCTACCCCGCGCCTATTCATGCTTCGTCCGGATTTGAGCCACTCATGTTTTCTGTTCGTAGTCCTCTTCGTAGCTCTGACAATTTGAACACCTAACTAATCTTCCTGAGCTCTGGTTGTGAAATGTATAATTTTGCGCGCGGACCCCAAAAAAAAGGCAAAAAAGAGAGAGGAAATGCTTAGATCTGAATACTTGGAAGAAAATATGTGTGCCTACTAATCATGATTTTGGACCACAATAATAATTACATATCAAACCCAATGAAGGCTGAAGGTTTAGTTTTTTTTTTTGGGGGGGGGGGTTGATATTAGATGCCATATATTATTGCCAATAGTCATCTAGGGACGAGAGAATATTTGAAACAATAATAGAAACTAATCTTTTTAGCACAGTGAAAGCAAAAAAAGTACATCCCTCTTAAACATGCCGTTACACACATAAGGGTACTTGAATGCTTACTCAATACTGGTTGATTACTTAAGTGACGACAAATACTCTTGCTATTTTATTATGATAATGTGAGGGGGTGTAAGTACAAAGGTTGCATGCAGTATGGTGATGGTTTGGAGTTGGCGGGATTGTGTGGCGAAGAAAATCACACGAACATAATTAAATGATGCTGGGCCGCAGAAGTTGGCGCGAACAGGTTCCGCATTCCATGAGTTGGGGGGTCCCACGCACGAGGGCGACCCTTCCGGTTGAGGGAGGGCCAATGCAAAAGCCATCCACAAAAAGAAAATTGGAGTCCCTTCCACTGGCCAGGAAGCCGCGCTTTTTCCATTGATCGCACTCGCAACACAAAAACGGCATATTCAGTCGTCATGGGTGCTGCCATGCTACTTTCAATAAATATTAAAAAAAATAATTAAATTTATTATTTATAATAAATACGTGTTGCTTTTCATAAAACATCCCTAATAATCACGTATGCATTATAATAAAAAACTCTTTAACATATACAGTCATCATGAGAGCTATTTTAAAAAATAAATAAATAATGAGAAACAAAATAAATTAGAATGTAAAGAAGCGAACTTTTATGCATTTAAGGTAGGAGGTAGTATTATTCAAGACAAAAGATGCAAAATCATTTTTCAGCCACTCGAATGAAAATTACAAATGGATGAACTCTGTCTGTTTAGCCGTCACCATACTTGCTTAGGATATAACAATCCAATCGCGCTGGGTGAAGTCGCGCATCATATTCAAGGACTTACATATTAATGATGCTCCCCTCTTTCTCTCTCTATATATATACACACACACATTAAAATTAAAATATAAAAAATAGGTCTTTGATTAAAATTGAAAAATCACATTATGATGAACGCAGCATTACCCACTTTTCTAAATTTCTTCCGTTCTGTTTTTCCCTTGTTTAATTTTGGTTCTTCGGTTGCCTTACTTGAGGTGAGGCATCCCTTGTCCACGCGGGTCTCTTAAACCCGAACCAACATGCCCTGTGAAATTCTTCAATGTTTTCATAAATTTCATTGACCCACTGTCTCTGTAATTGTATCCGAAAAAAGAAAAAGTCCCCGTAATTTACTTCGCACTCTGTTTTGGTCCTCTTGCAGTTATTGGGCTGATCCCAGCCCAGCTCAACATGAAAGCCTTCCAGCTCAGCCCATTGTCGTCTTTTGAAATCTATCCCCTCGGGTCCGACCCAGATTTAATTGTACCGTTGATGATTACATGTCGAAGGCAATTATCCTATTTTCCCAATCTTGCAATAATTAATTATTAACTAACATTACTTTTTTTAAGAAAGGAAATATGCATTAATAAAACCAGAAAATAAGTCAGGTTACAGTATCATAAAAATAAAGACAGCATTTCGGCTGTGCAAGATCTTTAATTACAGATTCCTTAATAAGAGGAACATTAGAGAAATTAAAATAACTAACTAGAAAGTAATATCTGGACGGAGCACTGAGAAGATACTGGAGTTTCTCCTCTGGGAGGTCGAAAAAGCTTCTGGACACAGTAATTAATTATTATTATTCACAACAGCAACATTCGGGGTTATTTATGGAGGCTTTTTTGCAATATAAATATTAGGCAGTGCTTGAATAACTTCAAAATCAATTTTTGAAAATTTTATAGTTTCTTACATTTTTTTTTTGGGATGATTGCATATTTATTTCATGCAGTCCAGTATAAATTATGAAAACACTATTAGTAATGCCATTGATCCCATGATCTCAAACTAAGGTAGTTTAATACTCGTCCAGTCCTTAAAAGCTCATTATTAAGTTAATTTTGATTAAAATTACTTTTATGAATACTTCTTCAATTATAATCAACTAAGTGAGAGAGAAAAAATATTAATAAAAATATTTATAATATTTTAAGAAAAACATGTCATATTTTTTATAATTAATTAACTTACTTAACTTTTTTAATCTAATCAAATTAGTTAAATAGGTCTTATATTAAGAACCGGAAGAGTAATTTATAATAATACATATTTTGGAAACGTGTAGTTTAATATTTTTATTTTTATTTTGAAAATGTGTGGTTTAATATTATTAATAACTAATTAGTCATTTAATAATATTATTATTATGCGAAGTTATACTCCACCACACACTTTGGGGAAAAAGGCACGCGACTCCAAGTCAATCCATTGGCAAGGCAGGCAGCTTCTGCTGTCCAGACAGAAATGGCGAGCGCTACTTCACCGGTTTCCACATTGTTCCACGGCGCTCACCCGCTGAAGAAGCTCTCGCCTTATCTTCCCAAATCCCTCCATCTCCATTCCCGCACAGCCATTCTCCCTTTTTCCTCTTCCTTCTGCCTTCTTCGCTCTTCTCCGCTTCTCAACTCTCGCAGCCCTCCAACCATTGCTCCCGCTTGTTTTCTCAAACTCGGCCCCATTAAAACCTCCCTTTCGTCCGCTTTCGATTCTCTTCTCATTCTCTGCACTTCCGTGGCTTTATCTTCCGCCCTATTTCTTGCCGATGTGGACTCCGCCTCTGCCTTCGTGGTCACTACACCCAGGAAATTGCAGACCGATGAGCTCGCCACTGTGCGTCTCTTTCAAGAGAACACCCCCTCTGTTGTATACATAACCAACCTTGCCGTCAGGTGGGCGTAATTTCTATGAGAATTCATTTTCCTGTTCGTATGATTATTCATTTATTTGCTATCGTTACCGTTGAAGATGCTTTAAAAAAAAAAAAAAAAAAAATCCTTCATTGTAATGTTTCTGAGGAGTTGCCATGGTGTGTGGATTTAGGCAGGATGCGTTTACGTTGGACGTGTTGGAGGTTCCGCAGGGTTCTGGGTCTGGCTTTGTTTGGGACAAAGAGGGTCATATTGTAACCAATTATCATGTCATCCGCGGTGCTTCCGATCTCAGGTTGGCAAATTTTGAATATTTTCATGAATCTGATCAGTACCACTTGAAATCCTGCTTTCAACTGTCGCTTTTAGTTGAAAGATAGGATCTGTTGATCCGACCCTGATATGTTTGCCCTTCAGTCCTGTATGGTGCTGGCACGTTTTTGAGCTTATAAGTTATGCAGCCAAGAGTGTGCATATTCTGCATTAAAACGTTTGCCTCGGCAACAAATTAGGAGTTCAAAAAGGTGTATATTTAGCAACTTCTTCAGTGGTTGTTTTGCATTTAGTTAGATGTGTCATATGTTTGATTTCTTTAAGTTGAAAGCTCTGATCAGAAACTTTGGAACTGGGTTATAGATCCGCATGTTAAGATGGTTCACAATGCACACGTAAATTTTCTTCTATCAAAATTATGCTAGTTATGTGCAGGGTCACTCTTGCTGACCAGTCAACTTATGATGCAAAAATTGTTGGCTTTGATCAAGACAAGGATGTTGCTGTCTTGCGTGTTGAGGCGCCGAAAGACAAACTCAGACCCATACCTATTGGTATTTCTGCTGACTTACTTGTTGGTCAGAAGGTGTTTGCGATTGGAAACCCGGTGAGAACTAATGATGCTTTCCTAAGATCTTAAGAAAAGTGATAACCTGTGATGATTGTTGCTATGTGGTTCATTGGACACTTGACCTTATAATTGATGCCTTTCTTGATAATTGACTGACTAATCACCCCCCGTGATAATTTATCTTCCGTGCAGTTTGGACTTGACCATACTCTTACAACTGGCGTAATCAGGTATAAAATCAATATAGTGAATATATTATAATATAATTAACCTATAGCTGTGGTCTATTTAGGTGTTGTAAAACTAAATTGCTGCAGTGGACTCTTCTTATATTCATTTTTGTGCTCTTTAGCTCTCTTAAACCAAATTGCAAATTTTATTTTATAAGCACCAAGGAAGATGTAAGAATTATTTTAGCTGTCATTAATCACATTATCAATGCCTGGTGTTTGTGTTGTGCAACAACTACATTGTTAGAAAAATAGACGGGCTTTTGCATTTATTGTTATAACCTGCTGATATTATTCAACGGTGATATGAATAAGAGGGAGAAGAATGAGGATCCCATAGAGAAATGAAAAGGTTTTGCCAGACAAGGGAGAGAGGGATGCGGAGAGTATTTAAGCTAAAGAAACTTTTGTGCGTGAAAATGGATGCTTCTTATCCCTTTAAGAATTGAATACGCCTCATTCAACAATACCTTTTCCTCTATCTTGAAACTTTTTCTTTTCTTGGGCAAGGCTGTCAAACGAGAAATAGAGTTCAATTTTCAGGTTTAAACATCATAAATATACAATGTCTTGTTGCTTTTGCTAATCCTTTTGTCCCTCTTTTGTGCTGATTGTGTTACTAATCCATTCATTGTCAATTGTCAATAGTGGACTTCGTCGAGAAATCAGTTCTGCTGCTACTGGTCGCCCAATTCAAGATGTTATACAAACAGATGCTGCAATTAATCCTGGTAACAGCGGAGGGCCACTCTTGGATAGTTCTGGAAACCTCATCGGGATAAATACAGCTATATATTCTCCATCAGGCGCATCCTCGGGTGTTGGATTTTCTATTCCAGTGGATACTGTGAGCTTTTACTTAGACCTTTTATTATAATTCAACCTTTGGTGAGACGTTATGGCTCTGTTTACTTGTGCTGTAATAGCTCATGTGCTTCTTATATTACATATCTAGGTAAATGGCATTGTTGACCAGCTGGTGAGGTTTGGAAAGGTCACAAGACCTATTCTGGGAATTAAGTTTGCACCTGATCAATCGGTGGAGCAGTTGGGTGTTAGTGGAGTTCTTGTCTTAGATGCACCTGCCAATGGCCCGGCTGGGAAAGCAGTATGCATATTCTTACATTAAGCCTCATTTGTTACGTATTCTGGGAATGTGATTTCACTTCCCGTCACGCATTTAAGTGCTTCACAGCTTGATTTGCATTCATGGCTACAACTTCGAACTTTTCCAGTTGTAGGGTTTATGCTGACAGTGCTAGTCAAAATTTCTGTTTTGCAGGGCTTGCTGCCAACCAAACGCGATTCATACGGCAGGCTTATTTTAGGTGACATAATAACGTCTGTGAATGGTAAAAAGGTTACTAATGGAAGCGATTTGTACAGAATTCTTGACCAGTGTAAAGTGGGTGATACGGTATGTCTTTAATGCAGTTTCCTCTATTGACCTCGTAGATTTTCATGGGAACATGCGCATCTGAAGTCAATCTGAACAGTAAAAAACATATACTAGACAGTACAAGTTCATTCTAGGAGGAAAGAGCCTACAGTGTCCACGGGATCTGTTTTCTTAATCCATTTTGAGTTGCTGGTCTTAGTAATATCCCGTGTTCAGTATGTCTGAATTTGGGTTAATACCCTCTAATTTCTGGTTGAAGTCAGAACCGTAGACTCCTCTCGAGTATATATAATGGAGCGATAATTGTTAGTTATGTGGGTTGATTTTCAGGTGACGGTGGAGGTCTTGCGAGGTGACCACAAGGAGAAGATCCCTGTCGTTCTTGAGCCAAAGCCTGATGAAACATGATGGTACAACAATCCTTCATGTATATACATTCCACATGACAGGAAATGCAGCAATTTTATGTGTATATTCTTGGGTTGTTTCCTGATGAAAGGTCCAACTGTACATATTGATTCTGGCAAAACTAATCATCCTTGCGTTATGAATTTTTTTTAGATGTATGAAAATACTGACCACGTCTATGTTTAAGAGTATTATTATTATTACTACCACCACTCTTATTATTGAAATAAAATATGAAACCATGTTGATGATCTACATCCAAGGGGAAGGACTAGCGGCGGTTACATGGATATCCTAACGACTGATGGCAGGTTAAAAAAAATGGAAAGGATATCCTGACAGTGACGACACCGTTATTGCTTTTTTGGGGCCGGGCGAGTGTCTAGGGTCCAAGCCCATTTGGAGGCAAGGATATTGGGCCAGATTGAGCCCATTGTGACAGCAGGGGCAAATGGGGAAATGTGATTGTTAGTTTGTGGGAGCCCGAGAGGAGGGAGAAGGGTTGGAAGTGGAAGATGTAAGCACGGAGCACAGTATAAAAATTTGGAAGAATAATGAATCATAATATTAAAAATTGGAAAAACTGATGCCAGGCCTGATTCGGACGTAAGGACGAATAGGAAACTGGGATTAAGGCCCTGTTTGGATGTCCTTCCAAACCATAGTTTGGAAAAGAAACCAGCCAAACAGGGACAGAAAATGTGAAACCATGGTTTGGAGTCAAACCATGGTTTTGAACCCCAAAACCATGGTTTCAGCAGAAGTAGTTTGAAGTTGCTTCTAGCTCAAATTTTCCAGATATTGGTATGGGCTTAACAGTATATGACAAAGCAGTCCCCATAATTGATGTCTCACTCTTCATTCCACACTCGGTTCTTCACTATTTAATCTTATAATTTATAAATATATATACACATATTAATTATTTATTAGTTATATTATCTTATATATTATTAATTATGTTAGTAAAAATTATTTTATTAACAATTTTATTTCTTCAAATCAAAATATATTATAAAATCTATCCCTTATATAATTATAATATTAATTTATGCCCTTTTTAGTAATTTGCACATATAAAAAGTGCTTCTGGTAACAATTATCCAAACACCCTCACTTCTCAGAATCACTTTTTCATAAAACCTATTCTCTCCAGAATTTATTTTTCAGAAGCTATTCTCCAAACCATGGTTTGGTTTTATCCAAACACACCCTAAATCGATGAGGACCAATGAATTGGTCAAGTTTTGTCTTTCATTCTTTTTAGTATTTAAACTATATCTCTAAATTATATTTTATGCATATTTCTATTTCATAACGTTGTTTTTTTTTTTTTTTGGTGCCAAGTCATAAACGTGAGTTGAAAAAATATGGATGGGCATACAGATAAGAAGTATGCATGTATATCATAAAATTGAAGGTTACAATAACAAAGTTTTACCCTATTAGCTAGAGTTAGTTACATAAATCGTATGATACTATTGAACTCTGTGCAAAGCCAAATTATTTTTAGATTACAAATTAATTTTAGGCTACAAAATTGTAGGTTACAAAATAAGTAAATATATATTATTTCTCATTATTATTTTATTTTTAGTTTTGAAATTATAAAAAAGTATTATTAACTTTTTAAATTATATTTTATTTCCTATCTTCACGTGCTTCATTGTTTAATTTTGCGCCTCCTTGTGTCGTCCGAATCCCGGGAATCATGAGATCTCTCACGCACAGCCAGCATCAATAAAATAAATTTGATCTTCGTTCACTTTTGCATTCACAAGATAATCTAAGACGTTAACGGTTAGCCCAGATGCCGTACGTGAGTTGTGTATTCTGTTTTCCATTACCCTTTTGATTTATGTACGTAGTCTCTCGTCTCTTACGGAAGCTTCCATGTTCTAATCTACAGTCTACACCTCTTCTACGTAAAATGGAAGGGAGTTGGGGATGTGGCCAGATGATGAAAATTGTGTGGTCTCATAATTTAAAAAAAAAAAAAAGAGTATTTTCTACATAGCCCAAGTTGGTAGTGTCAGATAAAAAGTGTATATGAAGAAGGCAGGTAGTAGCAATCTTCATAGCAGACACGACCTCTAATCTAGCTTCCAATGCAGAATGGTGGCCACATCTTTTACCTAAACAAACAAGACAAATCCAGTAGGGACTTCATTAGACTTCACTCCTCATCAATTTATCTCTTGCACAAAAAGCAACGTAAAACAAATGGAGAATCTCCATCTTCTTTTATTAATTACAAATCATTTTTAACTCACAAGAGGTTGTTGTTACAAAGGACACTTTTTCAGAGAGAACACAACTTAGTTAGGGAACCAAGATGAGGAGGACTCATTGGTAATATACACACACACATATATATATTAATGGTTGGTTCATACAGAGAAGGAAGAAGAGAGGCCAAACTGAAGGCCCCACAGCTCAAAGGATCCTTTCACAAAGTCATAGTATCCTCCTTTCAGAGCCAGTGTCTTGTTCACCAGCCCCTCTCTCACAAATGGATAAGTCAGCAGATTCCCTAGTGAAACATTCACAGCTTCCTGCAGTAACAAACATATACCAGATTATTTGCACAATCATCATGTTTCTTTACTTATTTGCAAACAAATCCAGAAACTTGATGTGTCCCACCTTCTCACAGTGTGTGCAGAGCTCAGAGAAAGGTGCGCTTCCATGTACCGCCTTCACTCTTGCCTTTGCAGCTAAACCAATCTTCACCCAGTCCTCTATGAAATCAGTACTGCACATCACCGACCACATGAGCCCCATTTAATGTAATTTGTCAGGGACATGTTAGATTTGTTCATTTCAAACAAAATTACTTACCTGGGAACGGCTCCGTTGTCTGGGATGGACATGAGCCCCTTGATACCACCGCAAGCACTGTGACCAATCACCACAATGTTCTGCACCTGTTCCAAAATTACATCGTTATTTTGGAGAATTCGGAGCAAACCCATATGATGTTTTCGTGAATTGGTATCTGGGAATTATGTACCTTGAGATGCAGAACAGCGTACTCAACGGCAGCACCAACTCCAGCATATCTGGTCTGTTACGGCATAGTAAATAAAAGAAAGTTTAAGTTGTGGGTACGTATGATCACTTTTCACACTCAAAAGGAGATGAGATTTAAAGACGCATTGGTTTTACTATTAAGGGACCTGGCAGTATGGTGGGACCAAGTTAGCAACGTTTCTGACCACAAAAGCCTCCCCTGGTTGAAAGTCTAGCACGTGAGATGGGCACACCCTCGAGTCTGAGCAAGCAAATACCATGTACTGCAAGTGCGACATGAAATAAGACAAAATTAAGCTTCAAGAAAACAGATTTTGTTCATAATTCATCGCTAGTAGCAAGGTAATACCTTGGGGCTCTGTCCTTTGGCAAGTTCACCGTACAGCGCAGGGTTCTTCCTGTCGAACAGAGTAATGGGAAACGGAAACAATGAGAAAAGCTAGAGGTGAAGGAAACAAAAGTCGAAAACGTAGTTATTGATCGAAGTGTTGACTAACTCATATTTCTCTTTCTTGAAGTGAATAAAACCAGATTTGATCCTCTCGACTGCTTCGGATGATGCGATGCCTTCAGATGTCGGTGTCCCCACCTGAGCTGTTATTTGTTCCACTTTTGCAGCTGCCGTGGTTTTTAACTCACCCTTCGCCCTGCACATCAAACATATACATATATGTAATGCTACAGAAATGAAATTGCAAGTACAATAGTTATTATATGAGAGGGAATATGCGTCATTACGTGAGCATTTTCTCGAGTTCTTTAATAGCTTCCTCGTATGAATCCTTCCCCATGTCCTCGTTCTGTCGAAACAAAAACAAATGTCAGGTGAATGAAAAGCATAACTGATGCTACGAAGACATGATCGTTGCATGGAAAGGCAGAGCGGTGTCAGATTTCAGTTTTTTTTTTAAAAAAAAAAGGTCGACTTTTTTTAGATGGACTGTTTCATCTATGGAGACTGTAGTTGTATTCTTGGTAGAGTCTTAGTTTAGTTTACTTAAATGAGGGAAAAAAGGGAATGGAAGATTGTGATTCTGAGTGATGAGTCAAAGAAAGGTCTGAAGAAATGAGTAGGACGCACGTGTCAGTCAAATCGGACTTAGAAAATTCAAACAGAGAGACGTGCATTGTAGAGAGGAAGAGAGAAGTACCAAACTGGGGGTGATGAGGGGAGCAGGGGCAGCAAAGACAGGCCTGTTTTGGATGAGAGAAGGGATCGAAGAAGAAGAAGATGATGAAGATGAAGGAGGGGGATTGGCAAGTCTTGCAGAGACAGTGGAGGGACGTAATGTGGGAGTGGTGAGAGAAGTTTTAGAGGCAGAGAAAGAAGAAAGGCAGCAGCCGTTGACGGAAGCGGTCGACATTGTGGCTGCAGCTTCGAAATCCCACAGATTATGGGAGCCTTTCCATAAAAGAAGCTTCTATTATATTGGTGGGAGGAGGCTTTTGAATTATGAAATTGCAGATAATGAAAGCGAAAGCCATGCAAACCTCTGCTTCATTCTGCATATCCTTCAAGATCAGGTTTCGCGCCTTTACCACAGATCCCATTCCTCCACATTTACGTTCGGATATTTCTAACGTTCTTTTGTTGTTTGTTCAACAGTACAGCGCGCAATCACGGTTCGCCACGTTGCTCTCCTTGTCACCACGTCTCCCCCATCCATCTCATACCAACCATTGCTCCCCACCCTAGGGCACCACTCAAGCTTCTCATCATTCATAACGGCCCAGTTATTAGGAGTGACTAATCTATCTATTTATCTCATAAATATCGAACCACATATATGCTAGCATTTATGTGTTGCAGGTGGGGGGTGCGTAGTGTCACTGTAACGGCCATCCACATTAAAAAAACATTTATAAGAAAAAGAATAAAGGCACAGTTATTATTATATATGCATGGGTGGCTGTGTGGTGGGAGTTAGAGATGAGTCGACTTACAGATAACGCCCTGTGCTTCAGCCATGCAATTTGTTTGTGGTTCTCTTTCTAAATTGATCCTCGCATTCCTTCTCCCTCCTGTCTGTCTGTATCAAATCTCATAATAGCCACGCTGATTTACACTGTTGTTCTTATTATTATTATGCTTCTAATTAAAACATTATGAGCATGCCATATTCAAATATATTATTGTTATTATTACTAGTGTTTACAAAACCTCGCTTCCGTCTTCTTTTAACTTCTTGTTATAAAAAATAAAAAAAACTATTCTCTTACCAATTATCATAACAAACGTTAATTTCTTAAATAAAATAAGATTAAATTATATCAAGCTTTCATGAACCTGCAGCCATATACAGATAGCTTTCTAAACTTCTGAAACCTAATAATAAATATCCTAAACTTTTAAGTCTATCAATTATACATTTGTCTTAAACTTTAGTTTGGTATGCATATCACTAGCTCCCTCGTGCTTTAAGTTACATATACAAATAAATCCCTTCAATTTTAAGTCATTTGAGGATAAATAATGAACAAAATTAATAATACGAGAATTATTTGCTTAAATATAAAAATTCAAAAAATTTTATCGTAAAGTTTTAAAAAATTATTTACATATAACATAAAATGCAGGGATTTTTCTATATTTTGTGGGGGGAAACGAACCAAAGAAAGAACGGCTCCTTTGAGTCTGTCTGTGTATTGTCAGGCTGTGTGTGCGTGTGAGCTTCACCAAACACAAACGTCCCAAACAAGGGGAATACAAATATATTCAAGGGAACCAAAACAAGCGTTCCCTCCAAAACTCCCTAGATCCTCAGCTCAGAACTTCAACGGACTTTCCCCCCCTCCTTACGAGGCACCAAGAGTAGTTTCTATCAGTAAATGAGGACTAGTTTTTCTCAGGACACTAAAAGCAAAGAATAATAAACTCCTCTTCATCAGATTTAATTTATTCCGTGCACACAGATTACGCACAGGAAACTTTTTTAAACTTAATTAGCCATATGAGTATATATGGAAAGATAACGAAGAGGATATTTGCAGTAAGCAAAACTGGAGACAAAGAAGGTTTCTGTGAGAAAAAGTGAGACATTACCAGGAAAAGGGGAAGAACAAGCAATGGACATGGATGGCAGCGAAGCTTTGAGGTCATTGCGAAAGCGAGAGAAGGACGGAGCTTCACGAACTGCAACAAAGAAGTGCGTGATCACCAAATTTGATGCTTAAAACTGTGAAGTACAACAAGGGAAGCGTGCGTGCCTCTGAACCTGTGAATCGATGTCGACATTTTCGATACATTCTGAACCAATGATGTCAACATAGTATTTGTCTCTGCCTGCCCTTATACTCATAAGAAGTGTTTTGTAAAATGTCTGCACAGGTAGTCAAATAGGAAAATCCATAATTGACTCAGGCATGACAACATGGTGCAACACATTACTATAATTAAATTTGGGTTTCTTTATGCATGTCTTTTTAATGTGTTGCTGTCAATTTGTCATTTATAGTAAGCATCTGAGTTTTACCTCCAGGGACTGAAGAATGGATTGTGATGTATTTTGTCCTCAGAATATCTATTTTATTATCTTCATACCCCTATTTTGTAAAATAAAATTTATAGCAAATTTATATTTTTTTTCTTTTGGTTGCTACCAGTATCCTCCCAGAATGATAAGAAATTAATATCTCGGGATATTATCAGGCACCGTAGGAAACCTCTCCCAACAATATTTTTTTCATACATACCGCTCCAAAAATTAAACTCAGGATATGATATTTAATATGTTTGAATTTCTTTCACTTGGACCAACACTTGTTAGCAGCAAATTTATATTACTTGCGAGTCAATAGTACAACTCATTCTTACTGTATCTAATGTTGGTAAGTTTTTTTACGGGGCCTCCTCCCTGAGCCCAATAAAATCATGGGTTCGTTCGTTATCATTTATGGGCTTTTGGTTTTCCCACAGCCCACTCTGGCAAGTATCATTAAAAAGGCCGGGGGAGAGTGTTATGAGGAAATCATTATCATGCCCGTAATCATACTTTCTTTCTGTCAGCATTTTGTTTGACTAGTCTTATGGGGGGGAAAAAACCTCCCTTTTTTTAAGAAATTAATAGAGGGCAAAATCTGTTGCAAGGAGGGAAAAAGAGGCGAACGATGGGGTTAGAAATACTCATCAGTTTTTGCGCAAAGCGCATCTGTTGTTTTTTGTCAATTTTTGAGCCGGCTATTAGTCCCTGATTCTAAAATTTAGTCGGTAATAAAGCACAATAACACTATATAATTCATATAACCAATTCCATGTAGTGAAATAATACCTGCTATTGTTGTATCAGTCCATTATTTCCTTTTTCTTTTGCCGAATATTTCAAATTCGCTATTCTTAGTCATAATGTAATGACGATTGACAAGCACGTTATTTCCAAAGTCGTTTGGGTTAAATAAAAAAAGAGCTTTAGTGACAAAAATACGATACGACTGGCCTCCTTATCGTGAGACGGGCCCCAGCTTACAAAATAGCGGTGTGGTATGACGTGTATCTCCCGTTCCGGAAAACAAGACAGATGAAATAAATCAAAAAATAGATTTTTATTAAAATAAATATTGAGAACTTTCTATTTCATGGTAAATATCACTGTGAATTTGCCACATAGAAGATATTTGGATGGAGTTAAAACTATAATTTAAAAAATACTTTTACAATATATGAAAAAATTTATTATCGTCTACGAAAATATTGGGTAACAATAAATATTTGGAGGCGTTTAATTGACCAACCCCCAATCGTCGCATTCGCCATGCAATTACATAACATTTGGTGGCCTTGTCGGCTTTTTTTCTCTCGGACCACGCACTTGGTGACTTTAATAAAACAAGCCAATATATACACATCGGCGAACAGGACAACTTTTTTGTTGTTTTTTTGTATAATAACAATTTGTCTCTAAATATCCACTTTTGATCAAAATACGTAGACAAACATATTCTCTTTCTATTTTTTTATAAACAACAACTATTATTTTTTATATTCTTAAATATAAGTAATATTTTTAAGTTGTTTTAAATTTTTGTAACAGATTTATTATTTTGTTCCCATTAATTACTTATTTTAATATTTAATATATTTATTGTCTTATTTCTCAACCTATTATCTCTCTCCATCACATATTCTCTCTCTTTTATAGTAGTTTTTTTATTCTCTTTCTTATATTTTCTCCCTCCCATAAATAAGAATATTTTAAAGAGAAAATTTATAATTTTACCTATTTATAATTTTTAACTAATTTTTTATTTAGGTAATAAAATTCTATGTTGCCTATAGCAAGAAAAAGAAAGGAGTACTTTACTCACAGGTACGGCGACAACGCTACAGACGCGGCGGTAGGGAAGGCAGGCATGTGATGGCCATGTCTGGTTTCGACCTGGCATCCTCATATTTACCCGTGTATATCCCAAACACCCCCCCCCCCCCAAAAAAAAAAAACAAAAGGAAAGGGGAAAACGCTTACCTATATATATCTACGCAGATTAGGGACGCATTAAGCACCATTATGAGATACCTGAGGGTCTGTTTTCTAAAGTTAATACATGATAAGTGCATGATCATGAGGAAATGACTATGCCAACAACACCAGTGAGAAGGGTTAATTAATTAGCATGATGGTGTGTGTGTGTAGAGAGAAACTTCCAGGGCAGTACGGGAAAAAGACAGTGAGAGGCATGATCGTGCCTCATATTACTAACCCCGATGCTGTTTCATAAAACTACTGATAATGTTGCTAAATTTCAACCCAAAATTTAATAAATATTGTTTTGAATTTTTTAAAATAAATAAGAGATATTATGCAAAATATTTACCCATCTGTTTCATTATATTTGTTCTTTACGGCCTTGCACACATTAAAAATGCAAAAAACTACATAAAAAAACACCACATACTTAAACATATTCGCCCCACGTTTATTGCCATCAATGCCTTAATTACTCTAAAAACATTTTACTCTAAGGGCAAAACAAAAACAAAAAATTGATATTAACTGTTGCTTTGAAATTGAGAAATGATACTGACATGTAACACGAAACCATTTTTTTCCCGTAAAGGACAAATACAATGAAATGGTGGGAATAATAAATGCTGTTTTTAAACTTCCACAAAAACATATACACACACACGCACATATCACGGGTGGCTATTAATTTTGAAAGGGAGTGAATATAAAGCGTGGTTATTATATAAAACAAAACAAAAACGTTCCTGAAAAATACTTATATCCTTTTTCCCCTAATTTTTTTTTTGCCTGACCTTTTTTTCCCCTGAATAATACTTATATATACAAAGAGAACAAAAAGCATGATTATAATAAATTTAAAATACGACGAGACTAAGATATCATGGATTTTTTTAAAATGGTTTAATTAAAAAAAAAACATGTGTAACAATCACGCTACATGGATGCATGCATCTCCATAATTGAGAGCTGGCATACAATTTCGTAGGAGTTATTAAGAGAAAAATTACGATTAGTAACAGATTAATGGACATTGAACTAGTTTTTGGCCCAACGGAGAATTAAACCATAGGCACCTTAATTTTGTCGAAACTTGTATACAACTACGGAACTTCAAACACAAAAACAAAATTTTCTCTGAATTTCTTAACCTTGACTCTTAATTTTTTTCAACAATAAAACTTTCGAATGCCTCCTAAGGAGAATAAGACCTCCAAGCAACCTCCTTCCGTTGCCGAAGGGCCACCTTTGCTGTAGTGGACAAAAATTAACGAAATTCCTCAACACCCATCAGAATCGTTGTACGCTTTTCGTATGATTCCGCATCAACACGTTTCGGATTATATATCAAGCAATTGATAATCCAAAATCCATAGAAGAAGATCAAAAGTAAAAGTAGAAGGAAAGCCTAACCTAATCTAATAGTCTAATCTGTCGTCCCAAAATTTTCAGAATGGTGTAAAGGGCCTGCCTAATCCATGGACGTTTGCAAAGAACCCAACCAAGTCCTGTCTGTAAGGCAAGTAAGACTTTCGCCTGTCCACTTTCTTCAGCTCTCTGTTTCTCACGTAGAAGGCCTCGTGAGCCGACACCTTCTTCTCGCCGTCGCCTGAATTCCCCGGTCCCTTCGCTTTCTGCTTTCCGGCAACTTTGATTGACTGTCTGCTTCCGGAGCTCCATTGCTCTCTCGAATTCTCCGTTTTCACTTCCTTCTTCTTCATCGAGCCGGACGGCGTCAGGAACACGAACGACTCCTTACTATCGCTGTTGCTCCGCCGAAGCAAATCCAGAAGCTTCCATTTCTTTGAGAACGACGACGATCCCGTGGAATTGCTCTTCTCACATCTAGCAGGCGAAGCCTGGTCTGGTTTGGGAGCCCAAACACAGTATGTCCCCGGCGGAATCGACTCCAAATCATCCACGTCCGATGAGGAAGACGACGGCGGATCACGATCGGCTGGCGCTTGATGCTCGTCGTTAATCAACAGCTTCCCCATCGAAAATTGAAGAGCGAGCGCATCCTCCTCTGCTCTGGAGCCACGAGGACCGGTCTCATCATCCGTCAGGAGGTCCCGATCGAAGACAGGGAAAACAGGGCCCACACCACCATCAAAGAAAACCTCATCGGCAGCCTTTCGAAAGGTGACGAATTCGAAATCACCGGAGTCGGCAGAAGCGGCGCCGTCATGGCGGCGAGACTGCTCGCGGGCAACCTGATCAGCGATATCAGCGAGTTCATCGTTGGAATAGCTGTTGAAGCTGGGACAGAGGAAGGAATCTGGAGGGTCTTGTTGATTGTGCATCGCTGTGTTGAATTGTGTCGCGTGAGATTGAGGAGTGACGGGGGAGTGTGAAAAGGGGAGGCAAGGGAAATCGTATTTATAAGAAAAGGCGTGAGTTAAAGGGGAAAAAAAAAAAACGGTGGAAAATTGAAATAACGGTTGACCGCGGCTAACTATATAGTGCTCCTATGCCGCTCTTAGATATTTCTGTGTTGCTTCACACGTTTTTGCGCACTCGCCCTTCTTCAGCAGCGTGACCCTCAAGTTTTAGTTTTAATTTATTTCCCCTGTTTATTGGATCTCTCTCTTTCTTGGAGCCTCAGAATTTTTATTTTCGCGAGAATGTTACTATTTGTGAAATTTGTTTTATTGGGAATCCAGTTTCCTTCACGCGTTGATTGGGGACAAAGGCGGGAAGGAGTGGAATGCGGAAAGTAACCATTTAATAGCTCATGGATTGGAGCGCAGGTCATATTCTCGGCCGAAAAATATTATTGGTATTAATGTTTTTTTTTAAAAACGAAGTTAACGCAGTAAAATGATGGGACACACACTATTTAGGTGGAAACAGGTGCGCACAGAAGCCTTGAATTGGATGGGGCTATAGAAGAAATAAAAAAGCGAGAATGAGAATGGTGAGGTAATTAGAGGAGGACGGGTAGAAAGTGTGGAATAAATGAGGTGGGGCTTGAGAATGGATAGCGGTGGGAAGTTACAGAAGGGGGACGAGAAAGTACTTATACTGTTGTATATGAATTAAATGTGGGGCGTGAAATGGGTAAATGAGGGCAGACTACAAAAGGGGGGGGGGTGGATGCCGGAGCATTCAATGCCGGCGGGGAGTGAAGCTCATTTACAGTTCCAGCATTTCCTTGTCCTGAGGGTGCAATCAACACATACAACTCCACATTCATTGTTATTATGGCGCCCTTAATTAACTGAATTAGAGTACTATTCAGTTAATTTACGCAGTTAATTTGCATCTGACGTATTTGGCCAAAATAAAATAACGCATCTGGTGTACCAAGAAAGGTAAGAGATCCGGAAATTAGATGCTAATATATCGCACCTCTGAAAAGATCCATTTGATTGAATATACTCCTGTATTTTTATTCATAAGTCACTTCCAACATGTTTTGTACAGATAAAAAAAACCTTTAAATTTTATTAACTCTCACTTAAAATTCAATAACTTTTCAATTTTATCTCTATTTAATATATATTATATCCCATATAAACAAAGTTAACATAATAATAAATAAAAGATAAAATTATACATTCATATAAAAAATTTCTCTCAATGTTCTATAAATAGGACAAATTAGAGACTTGCGTGGATCCCATTTCATGAAATGGAAGGCTGCAATGGCAGGGAAATTAAATGATACGTGCATGGATAGGTATAGCGAGCGAAGGCATAGGAAGTCGCAGTAGATTATGGAAGAAAGAATGGTAATTATTAATTAACTTAGGTAGAGGGATGGAAGGAAGGAAGGAAAGAAGGATGTGATAATCAGAAGAGACAACGAATTGAAGGGTGTGGAACGAAGTCAAGTGAGATTAGTTGAATGAAGCCATCAAGGAGGGGCTTCTTGGCTGCTTCTAGAAGCCTGGGTGCTTCGTCCCCTAAATAAATATGTACCTATTGCTTACCTAATGGCTGACGCAATCCGCAGCCTTCGCTGTTGAAATTTAATTTAATTTTGTTTCTGGGCCGTTATTTTCCAACAACTTCTATTCGTTTTTAGTCTCCACGGTCTCTTTCGCATGCCACCAATTAACAGCAAATCACGTCTCCTTTCACATCTCTGTTCCTTCTCTAACATCTTACTATAAAGTCTGTTGTTGTCATTACTATGTTATTTTACTCGTTCAATTGCCAAATTAAATCTGAGCTCACCAGAAGTTATAATTTTCGTGCTCAGTTGTCAATTCTCTGGGCCAGCATAAAATTACCGATTTGTGAACGCTGTTCTTTCTTCCCCGAGATGAATTACGTGAGATTTATCCATAAAATAAACTACCGCTGAATTTTATTTACATTATATGATTGTAAAGGTCATAACGATTTCTTTATTAAAATTAATACTCCTCTGGTCCTTATTATAAGACCCCATTTGACTTTTTATTTGATCCTAATTATAAGACCCCAATCAATTTTGTCGCTTATATTTATGTATTTTTTTCCAATATAATCCTTCTAATAATGATAGTTTTAGCCAATATACTTAATTAGCAAGGATATTTTAGGAATGACAACACTTATTTATTATAAATAACCAACTTAACTTACTTCCTTAATCTCCTCAAATAAGTCAGTTGGGTCTTATAATTAGGACCGGAGGAGTTTTTTTTTTTTTTTTGCCAACATTAGAATTAGTAATCATAGTATGCCAAACTATATTTTTAACACTACTTATTTAAAAAGTCATTTCATTCGTTATCGTGTCCATATCCTTGCATTTATGAACGGAGAAAATTTATCTTCGTTTGCTTATATACTTTATATACGACTCTATATATCAATCACAAGTTCACAACCAATTCTTCATTTAATTGTAGGACGTAACCCGAGGGTTGAATAACATAGCACCATAAATTCAAGCTGTCCCCGACAATTATGTATGCGCTTCGAATTCCACTAATGGTATCGTGTCTCCTGGCTGCTTCTGCGGGGAATATTCTTTGGAGGTTAACAAAGAGTCGTGTCCTCACCAGTGCTCGTATTTCAGAATTTGTTGACCAAAAAAAGTGGGCTTCAAAAAATATGACGTATTTACACGTGCGGTTCTTTGCCATCCACTCTGAACCTAAGCAGCACGAACGGAAAAGTCAACCACGGAGCTCGAAACACACAAGGCAGCAACGATTGTTTCTGGAACGTTCGATGGGACTTTCTGTCATTGCTCTTCGGTTATGTTTTCGCCCCAAAACAATGGCTTTTTCGATGGCTGATCGTCACTGGCTTCGATGGCGGTTCTTCCATTAATTACGGGATATTCCCATTCATCTTTTTTTCTTTTTTTCCTTAACAAATATTTCCGCAATGCCAACCAAGACCTTTCCCATTAAGTACAGTAGCCGCAACGACGCAAGTACGCAACTACCAAATTTGAATGAGTTCGTGCTTTCCCATTAAAACCACATGCAACACATTATTCATCAACGGGATATACTCGACACCTTCCCCCCTTAACTCCTTTAATTAGTGCCTTTTTTAAAACTTGAATTAACTCGAGGTCTATTTTGTATGAGAGCCATCTAGAAGGAAAGAGAAAGTTTAATGAGTTCCGTTTAAAATTGAACAAGTGGGGTTAACGATTTTTAAATTTTTTCTTATTTTTTCTCAACATCTTCTCTTCATTAAACTTTTACAACATTACTTTTTCAATTTTTTAAAGGGTTACGGTGCACTTAGCACCTTGAATTATTTTTTCAAGTGCGTTTAGTGTTTTAAAGTAATTTTTAGTACACCCAGTATCCAAAACTAATTAAAACGGTGCGCCGATATCCTATGCTAACAGAACCGTTTTGTTTCCCTGTTAACCCATGACTCAGCTTAAAGTTGATCTCTCTCTCTCTCTTCATTCTCAAAGATGACCCTTCAAGGTTCCATGGTTGCCTCAGAAATTTTCCAGCTTCATTCCCTCTGATGTCCAAAAACCCTAACAGCAAAACTTCTCATCCAAACAGTTCCAATCTCTCATTCCATTCCCTTCCCAAATTCTCCGTCTCGGCCGTCACCCATTTCGTCCAAATCCCCACTCTTCCCAATTCACTCACCTCCGATCAACTTCGCTTTGATGTTCTCTCCAAGTACCTCCCCTTCATCCAAAAGTTTCGAGGAAAAACCATTGCCGTCAAGTATGGAGGAGCCGCCATGAAGTCGCCGGAACTCCAAGGATCCATCATCAGCGGCCTCGTTCTTCTCTCCCGTGTCGGTCTTCGCCCCGTACTGGTCCATGTCTGTGGATCAAAGATAAACCATTGGCTCAACCATCTCAACATTCAGGCAATTTTTCGTGATGACCTTTGAGTTACGGATGCTGAGACAATGGAGATTGTTTTCATGGTTTTAGTCAGCAAGGTCATGAACAAGACCCTGGTTTCACTCATCAATAAACCATTATACTAATATATATGTTACTACCTCCGCTAATTATAAGACCCAGTTGACTTATTTGAGGAGATTAAGAAAGTAAGTTAAGTTAGTTATTTATAATAAATAAGTGTTGTCATTTCTAAAATATCCTTGCTAATTAAGTATATTGGCTAGAACTATTATTATTAGAAGGATTATCTTGGAAAAAAATGCATAAATATGAGAGACAAAATGGATTGGGGTCTTAAAATTAGGACAAAACAAAAAGTCAAACGAGGCCTTATAATAAGGACAGAAGGTAGTAATATTTATGAAGAAGAAGGCAGCCATGGAACCTTGAAGGGTCAACTTTGAGAATGAAAGGGGAGAGGATCAACTTTAAGCTGAGTCATAGGTTAACAGAGAAACAAAACGGTTCTGTTAACCTGAGATATCGGTGTACTGTTTTAATTAGTTTAAGACACTGGATGCATAAAAAAATTACTTTAAAATATTGTACACACATGAAAAATAGCTTGGGATGCTCTGTGCATTTTGATCTTTTTTTAAATTGAGCTCATTAAAATTTTTGACAGAATTGTCAAAAGACTTCGAGAAAAAAATTTAATTACCAAAAAGTCTTAATGACCTGTTGTTATTCTCTACTCTGAAACTTGTAATTACTTACTCTTTATTTGTCAATAGACTTTGAGGTAATTAATTCCTTTCTTAAAACTTGATTGTAATTCTCTCAAAGTTTTTCCTCTCATCTCATCCTTTCCAATTCTCTCATATTATAGTGTTAATTAAAATTTATCCCATTTTCATCTCCTCCCCCCCCCCCCCGGCACACGACTTTCTTCCAAGTAGTAAATAGAAAATATAACTATTGAATCGCTTTTAAATTTCACATGATCAGGTGCCCACTTAACCTCCCAGCCTGGGAAATTTTGGTCACGATCGATGTTTCACACACACACACACAAATTGTCAAGAACATGAGGCCACTCTTTTGGGTTAACTAAAAGTCACCAAGTTTAAACGTGAATAATATTGGGGTTTCGGCGCTTCAATTTCAGAGGACTTCCTGTTGAACACGACCTTGCCTTCTCTATGCATATTACTTAATGAAGACTAGAAAGTGACTTTTAAAGTATCTTTTTGTTTTTTAACGGAAGATTAACCATTTTTTATGTGTAATATAATGTATAAGATGTTACATGGTAAATTTTCTCTGAGTGATTTTTCTAAAAAAAATATTCAGGTCAAGTTTATTAGATCAAGTTTGTCCATTTATCCAATCATATTCTGCCATATGTATTATTTGGCCTCATCAGTCATCACCGTTTAACCCCCCACAGTCCATTTAATTGCCGTTAGTGATTGTACTCACCAGTCATGGGTGATTTGAATGTCCAAGGGAGAGGAAAAGAAACAAGCATGCATGCAGCTGGTTGGATTGGGGAAAAAAAAAAAAAGAAAGCAAATAAATTAATAAAATAATTGTTATAAGAAAGCTATATTGATTTGGGCATGCCAGACATCAAGAAGAACTTTTAGCGTAGTTCAACGCCTTTCTTAATAAAATAATCAAAGAAACCCCAAGAAATTAAAATAAACGAATCACAATATCTTCGGGCAGCATGCTTTTTCACTCTTTGTCGCAAGTGCTTTTCTTTGGTGCCAGTCAATTCCCTTGTTTGATGGATCAACGATGCTCTCGAGGCTTTTTTTTTTTTTTACACGTTTTTTAAAAAATAATTTTCCTTGACTAACTGTGATTAAATGAATTGTGGGGGTTAAATTAAATAGTGATGAAGCCAAATAATACTCAAGACAGAATATAATTTGATAAATGGATAAACTTAAACTTAACCTAATGAACTTGATCTAAGTATTCACCTTTTTTTTTTTTAATCAACGCGAACAATATATTGATTTAAACAAACGTTTTTTAAAAATTTTAAATTTAAATAGGAAAAAGAGAAAAAATTAAGGGAAAATTATGCACAGGTCCCACAGAAGACAATTTATTCATCTAAGGTCTCACGAAATGTCAAAATCACTGACAGGTCCCAAGGGACCTCAGAGTAATATTTTCAATTTGTAAAATGACATTATTGCCCCTCATATTCCAGATTCACATTTACTCTGTCATTGCGATTTACAACCTCATCAGCGACTATTAACAACCCAATGAGAGGGCGTTAACAACCCTAGCAGTATCTGTTAACAACTTACTTTATAGAATCATATAACCTCCACATAAGAGTAAATTATAACCAAATAGTATAATACAACAACTTTAACACTAAAATGGGAAGCTTTTTGATATCATTAAGAATTTTAACTAAATCCAATAGGATTATAGTAATATTTTAATGCGAAGATCCATTTACAACCTCAGCAACGACTATTAACAACCGAATGAGAGGGCATTAACAACCTGAGCAGTATCCGTTAACAACTTACTTTATAGAATTATATAACCTCCGCATAAGAGTAAATTATAACCAAATAGTATAATACAACAACTTTAACACTAAAATGGGAAGCTTTTTGATATTATTAAGAATTTTAACTAAACCCAATAGGATTATAGCAACATTTTAATGTGAAAATCCATTTACAACCTTAACAGTAAGTATTAATAACCTAAGGAAAACTGTTAACAACATTAGGAGTGTCTGTTAACAACTAACTTTATCGCATGATATAACTTCTAACTATAACCGACTAAATTATAACTAAATAGTCTTAAAGTTAATCTTATATAGTTGTTAGAGGTTATATTATCCTATAAAGTAAGTTGTTAACGGATACTGCTCAGGTTGTTAATGCCCTCTCATTCGGTTGTTAATAGTCGCTGCTGAGGTTGTAAATGGATCTTCGCATTAAAATATTACTATAATCCTATTGGATTTAATTAAAATTCTTAATGATATCAAAAAGCTTCCCATTTTAGTGTTAAAGTTGTTGTATTATACTATTTGGTTATAATTTACTCTTGTGTGGAGGTTATATGATTCTATAAAGTAAGTTGTTAACAGATACTGCTAGGGTTGTTAACGCCCTCTCATTGGGTTGTTAATAGTCGCTGATGAGGTTGTAAATCGCAATGACAGAATAAATGTGAATCTGAAATATGAGGGGCAGTAATGTCATTTTACAAATCGAAAATATTACTCTGTGGTCCCTTGGGACCTGTCAGTGATTTTGACATTTTGTGAGATTTTAGATGAATAAATTTCCTTCTGTGAGACCTGTGCGTAATTTTCTCAAAAATTAACAAGTAGAAAGAACAGGATTGTACTTACCTTTGTGTGGTTAATGAGGTGATTGGTGATTGCTGGGTGCTTCCACACTTCTCCTGGAGGGTGGGACCCATTTTACTCGGATTTATTCCGCCGCCCCTGGCTTTTTGGATGAATCTACCGATCTATTGTCATGCTCATGCTTATCCTTTAATTTGGTGCGTAAGCGTGTTATCACATTACAAATTTTTAAAAAGTTCTACATTGAATATAAAAATAGATATATAAATAATTGTTTATATTTTTCAAACTTTAAAAGTTTTGACTTATTTTTGAAATAACCAGATCATGAGTTTGCTGGCTCAAAATAATGCCGGCATTTTAAGCCGAGCATCATAAATGCTGATATCTTTGTGATCTGATATCCATGGTTCATGTAAAGGCTGGGTTATTCATCAAACTACGCAGCCAGGGAGTGTTTGGGACAGCTAAAATCATTTAAGAAAAGTAATCTCACATAAGTAGAAATAAAATTTTTATTATATTTATTTTGTAGTTCGTAAATTTATTTTTGAAAGTACCCAAACATCTACTAGGATCAACACGAAAGAATCTCTCAAATGACATTTGCCTTAAACAAGGGGTAATCCTGATGAAATTTAGACGTGACGTTTTGCAGATCTTATAAATAATACAGATAAACTTCATCCGTGTATACAGCCAATGGCTTCCATCATAACCAATTTTGATTTTTGATGCATGCCTGTAAAACCGTGTGAGGCGGCATTCAAAATTTCCCTTTTCACAGATAAGAGTTTCAAAGTTTTCCACTCCTAACTGGTTTTTTTTTCCAGCTCCGCTTATAAATAATTTTTTAATTATGATTTTCAAAATATAAGATAAGTATACGAAGAGAGTTTTATATCTGTTTACATAAAATATATTTATAAATAATTTCAAATGTTAATACAAACAGGACTTGAGATGATTTGAAAAATATTTGCGGCTTTTGAAAATAACGTGACTCCCCACAACTTTTATAAATATAGAACATGGGTAAGTTGATTGGTGGGAGGGTCTTCGATTTTTGTTTCACGCCATTTTCTAGCAAAGACCTTCATTTCATTGACATACAACATGCAAGTACAAACGTCCACTTACCGACAAGAGTTTGATGACCGTGGACACCGCGTGACTGAAGCACAACTATGTGCCTGGCTTTAAAAAAGTAAAGGAAATTATAAATTTTTTTTCCTTTCAAATTTTAACTTGGTACAACTCAGTTAGTTAAGTATGACGAGAGAGTGTTTGGCAATCCTAATCTAGTGTTTTTAAATAATATTTTTTTATAAATCAAGATAATCTTTTTTATATATTTATTTCGTATATAGTACAAATATTTTTATAACTTGATTTTTCTCCAAACCATCCCATAATCTAGTTAAAATTGTAATCTTTTTATTAAATAAAATAATAACCCAGTCGTTGCTGACACAGGTAAAAAAAAAAAAAAGCTGCTGTGGCTTCCTATTGAGCTCCGTGTGGCTGGGATCCCACCCTATTCACCTGAAAATTCTTCCTCAGACCCTCTCCTCTTTTGGTATGGCCTCGGACTCTCTCTCTCTCTTTTCTTTCGGGGGCTTGGCCGATTTTCACTCTTTGAGCACGAGCTTCCTGGCGGCGACGAACTGCCCCCATTTC